CAGTCTGCATGTGAACCAAGTGATACAGTGTCTAGTGGTGAACTCTTTGGGTGGTTCCCGAAAAACGGGAGTTTTGACTATGGAACGGGAGGTGGTAGGTCGTTTCCAGGATCAAATTAACTCTTAGGATATTATGGTAATTGTGTTAAATCTGTTTTTGATTCGCAAGCAAAGTTGTAGCAAAGTGTAGAGTCTGAAATAATAATTCTTCAGAAGATTGTTTAGATAAATTGTTTCATGATTGTCATATCACATTAATATGGACTCAGTTATTATGGATACCCCACAATGTGGACACCGTTTTCGGGAACAAACTTGGAAAATACATGCATTTTTGTCTCATTAATCTGGACAACTCACATTATGAACGATGTTTGGGGGGAGCTGAGGCGTCCATACTAACGAGATATTACTGTATGAGCATTACTCACAAGTAAACCATCACGACCCTGCCACAGCTATAATCTGGGGTATCAATAGTGATTGGCTATATCCAGTTAGTGAAAGTAATGATAGAAGCACCTGCACATGACTTTATTTTTATGTATTGCAATGAACACTGCAATTATAACGATGATGAGTAAAGAGCTGCCTCAACTCGCTTCCCCACGTTAGGTTGCCAATGAAAATATCTGAATGGATGAATTGGTAATATTTATTTATTTATTTATTTAGTATACCCTCAGGGCCAAAGGCATTAGAGAGGGGAGTGGTTACAATCAAGAAGAAATTAAACAAACAGAGTACAGCAAAAATGGTAATACAAATAAACAAAAAATGGCATATAATCATACAATGTTAGCTAAGGCGTTCTTGAAGTGATGGGAGTCTTCGATAGTGGCTATTGAAGCAGGAAGGCGATTCCACTCGTCAGATGTGCGTGGCAGAAATGACTGAAAGAAAGCGTTAGTTCTGGCTGATGGAATTCCAACCTTATTAGCTTGATCAAACCGAGATGAGATGTACTGAGGAGGTAAAATAAGTTTGTCGTGCAGATGTGAATGGTAAAACAATTTATGAAAGAGACTGAGACGAAAAGCTTTACGGCAAGATGCGAGAGATGGCAGGCTGAGGCTAGACTTCATTGAACTTATGCTCGCGGTTCGGTTATAGTTAGAAAGTATAAAACGAACAGAATTATTTTGGACCATTTCGAGTGAGTTTATTAGGTTTTCTTGGCTGGGATCCCAAACTGACGTGGCGTATTCCAATTTAGAGCGAATTAGTGTGGTGTAAAGCAGTAGTTTTAATGACGAAGATGCTCGGGCAAAGTTACGTCGAAGGTATCCCAACATCCGGTTAGCATTATTAATCACGTATGTGGTATGGGCGGTCCAAGTCAGATCATGGGAAATATGAATGCCAAGATACTTGTATGAGGATACAGGGTCAAGGGGTATGTTATTAAGGCAGTATTTTGGCAATTGGCAAGGTTTTCTGGACACATGCCTTAGTTTACACTTGTTAATATTTAATTCCATGCGCCATGCTTCGCACCAGACAGAGATAGCGTTAAGGTCAGATTGAAGGCAGATTATGTCATTATCGCAAGTTATTTCACGAAAAAGTACGCAGTCATCAGCAAACAAGTGAATGTGGGAGGAAACAGTTGACGCGAGATCATTAATGTAAATAAGAAAAAGAAGAGGACCAAGCACCGAGCCTTGCGGTACACCAGAGTGGACACTGCGCGGCTCGGATGTTAGATCGTTAGCTGAAAAAAATTGTGAACGGTTAATAAGAAAGAATTCAAGCCACGTGAGAAGTTTGTGACCAAGGTTTAGTTGACGCAGTTTATAGAGCAGCAGCTTATGACAGACCTTATCGAATGCTTTGGAAAAATCTAAAAATATGCAATCTGCTGATGATGAGTGGTCGAGGATGATATTCATTTTATGCATGAAGGACACCAGTTGTGTTTCACAGGAGTAAGTTTTTCGAAAACCATGTTGCGCGAATGTAAAAAATGAATTCGATTCGAGAAAGTTAGCAAGATTGGAAAACAGAATATGTTCAAGAATTTTACAGGGGATACTGGTGAGTGATATGGGTCGGTAGTTGAGTGCAGAGGTCTTTTTACCTGATTTGTGGCGTGGAATCACCTTCCCGACTTTCCATTCCGCGGGTAGAAAACCATTGTCGAGTGACTGCTGAAAGATCTTTGTTAGTATGATAGAGGAATAAACACTTGTGCTTTTTAAGAATTTTGGATTAACTAGATCGCAACCAGGGGCAGAAGAAGGCTTTAATGATCTAAGTAGGTGTTCTACCCCAGCTGGCTCAATCAATATGGGAAACATTACTGCGTAATCGTACGAATGAACGAAGGGTAGAGAGGGATCCGCAGATTCTGAAAAGTTGCGTATAAAACATTCATTAAGAGTGGACGCGCACAGGTTAGATGGGATTACATTATCAGTATCGTCGATGAGGATTATTTTATTATCATCTTTCGGATTTATAATGCGCCAGAACGTTTTAGTGTCGGTTGCTAGCATTAAAGGTAACGTTTGCTGTTGAAATTCTTCCTTGGCTTTTTTTACTGCTGAGACATATTCGTCGGCAGCCTGTTTGTAAGGTATCCTGCGGTCATCATTTGAAGATCGCTTGGCTGATTTAAAAAGACGTTTTTTTTTGTTTGACAAACGCTTGATGTGAAGATTGTACCATGGTGCGTTACGATTATGACGAACAGTATAAGTAGGGATGTATTTATTGGTTAGCTCGTTAACTTTCGCCAAATATAAATTCCAGTTAGCTTGTACGCTACGAAGATTGAAATCCTTCAAAAATATGTCAAGGAAAGCTGATAGTTCATTATTGATAGCTTCAAAATTAGCTTTTTTATAGTTTCGAAAAGTTTTCGACTTTTTAGGAGCTAAAGGTCTCGACAGGTTAACGTGAAATGAAAGGAGGGCATGGTCGCTTAAACCAGGCAAATAAGTAATGTCCGAAATGAAATCAGATCTGGAGGACAATACGAGGTCAAGGGTGTTAGCTGCCGACTGGGTGATTTTCGTAGGCTGCTTGACAACTTGTGTAAATGAAAAAACAGAGCAAAAGTCTAAAAACTCCTTCGCTAGAGAGGAGACAGGGTGCATCAGGGGTGGTTCACTGTTCCATGTTATGTTCGGGATGTTAAAATCGCCAAGCAAAAATAAAGGCAACGTGGGAAAGCGCGATGAAACAATGTTTGTTGCGTCGTGAAGCTCATTCACAAATGTGGAGGAATAAGTGGGGGGACGATAACACGCACCAACAATTAATTTTTGATGAGTTAGCTCAATGAGAGCCCACACAATTTCAAGGTTACTGGAAATATGAATGCATTGCGATGAGAAGTCTTTGGAAATGGCCAGAAGGACGCCACCGCCCTGACGAAAGGTGCAATCGCAACGATAAATGGAAAAATTATTAGCGCTCGAAAAAATTTCACAATCCCGAACATACGAGTGCAGCCACGTCTCGGTTAAAACTATTACGTCAGCATTGCAGGTGTCTATGGCAGAGGTTAAGGAATCGTGCTTGTTAACAATGCTGCGAACGTTAGAAAAAATAAATGATACAAACGCTAAGTTTTGTCCACTGCCCCTCGCGTTTCCCTACGTGGTGGCACGTGCCGCGGTGCTTGGATGACTGTTCACTTGTGCCAGTAGTGGCGCATGCTCGATTACGCTATCACTCAACAGATGGTAGACGTAATGCTTGTTGTTGATGATAACTTTGTTGTAACGCAGCTGGAAGGTGGGTGCGCCCGGTTGGTTTTTCGCAAACGCAATTAACTTCTTACGCGCGTGTCGCGTGGCGGGCGAGAAGTCTTCACTGACCGTTACGTTTGTTGCGTTCAATTTTGTACGCGCGGAAAGTATATTCCCCTTTATTTTATAACTTGAAAATTTGACTATGATAGGACGGCATTTACTCGGCGAGTGGGTACCGAGACGATGAGCCCGTTCGATTACATTGTCAGGTAGGACGTCAAATAGGCCTGTTAAAACGCTTTTTATCTATTGGATGCACAGTTCCTTAGACTACCATAAAAGACCATGGGAGCGCCCACTTCGTTCAAGCACCCACTAGTAACCTTTCCCAGATTTGGAAATTCTGCAAAATATATGGGAAGCACCTGATTTGACTGGAAGCACCCATGCCTAGTTTAACCCAGTTATCAGTGAAAGTGGGTCGGGCGCGCTTCCGGTATTTTACGGTAATCTACCCTTTTTGGAAGGCTCTCTTGCTATCCCATTTGTTGAGGAGAAGATAGATAGGCTGAATAATGTAATTTGACTTTCCTAAATTGGGTCGCGAATCTTTGTGACATTTTGAATCAGTTCATTTATTCCCAATGAAATTGACCTGTCTTGTTGAGTTTCTGTGACAAACCAGGAGCGCTTGCAAATATATGGCATACACATCAAAGCAAAGAAAATGTGTCTTAGCCTGAGTGCTTTACAAGTCTGGGATTTTTGTTTCTTAAGAAAATGGTTTCTCAGGTTTGATTATCAACTGAGAGTGGTCAAAACCCTAATAAGCTTACAACTGGGTTCATTTGTTTTCGGTTGAACCAGTCTTGTACAAGGGGGACCTACTTGCGAGCTTAGCTGCCTTGAGGAAATTCCAGTTTGCTTTCAGATTAGATTGCTAACCTCTGTTTGTTGCCAATGGGGTCTACCAGCTAGGACCAGCATGCAGGCATAATGTTGTTAAGATTGAAAATAAATAATAAAAACACTTCCACATTATGTACATTTGCTTTTTAATGTTAGACTGGTGTTGTGGCAGTCAATATCCGTTAATATTTAAGTAAGCATATTTAACTTTTGTGTGTTGTTTTGTTGTTTAAATTCTGGTTTTAACGAGAGAACAATCCCTGTTCTGTCCATTATGTTGCCATTGTTGTCAGTGCAGTTTGCTTGCTGTTCTCCTTTCTCGTGCAATGTATCTTCCATATTTCAGCTTGGATTCAAAATGGCGTGGTATCTGGTCTTCCTTTTCTTCAGGTCTTACCGGCTGCCTCTGCGCCTGTGCTTACGGGGCCTACATGTACAGGAGGCGCAAGTTCTTCGACACATCCGTCTACATGATGCAGCTGCGAGTGGCTGCCCAAGGCACGGTGGTCGGCTTCCTGACCCTCGGCGTCTCGTACAGCCTGGTCCAGAGATACCTCCACCGGAATCAGGATTCTGATGAAGACGGGACCAGATAATAACCCAGAGACTAGCACACTTGTGGAGGCAACACGCCCAGATAGCTAGGCAGAAACTTGCTGGCACCGGCGAAATGTCTATGCTGATTGCAAGTTTGTCTGCTTCTTGAGCTGGGGTTGCGGTGACGTCAAAACGCCGAGCTCTGATTGGCTCCAATTGGAAAACACGTGGGTAGATCCCAAGGCAGCTAGCATTGGGGTCTACCCACTATTCCTCCATTGGAGCGAATCAAAGCTCGGTGTTTGGACGTCAGTGCAACCCCTGCGCAAGAAGCGGACAAACTTGCGATATGCATTACACCGTGTACAAGCTGCGTTGAAGTGCAGGCATCTCACTATTCTGGCATGTTTTGCTTTTGCTGTCTGGTTGCCTTCAGATAGAAAAATTTATTTTGTAATTGTTTTATGAAAAAGGGCTTTAGAAACAGATTTTTGTTTGTTAAAATACTAGAATATTTTGGAGCAGCAGTGGCCGGATAGGCATTTGATACCTGGATTAAATTAGTCTAATTTACCAGTACTGCGTTCATTGCTTATAATCACTGGCCACGAGGTGCCAACTGTGTCGCCTACTGTTAATGGATGATGAGAGACCGCTGGGAGTTATACCTTTGGGACGACTAACACCAAGTTTGTGTGCGTCTGTGGGTGGGCAGGTACGGATAGGCTCATGTCATACTTGCTGAAATGCTGATTTACTTATAAATTAAAGACGATGTGGATATGAAGTTTAACTCGAAATTTTATTTTGCATCCTAACTAATGCTATGTTTTCACTGTTTTGTGGATCCCTCAAGATATAACTTTTTGTGTTGACTTTTAAGCTTTCTTGTGCAGCAATCTTCTTTTTCTTCTGAGGTACGGAAAGAGTTTTCTGGGTACAACTGACCAATAAATGTGCATAATTGGCAGTATTTATCTGTCAAAAATTTTGTGAAGGTGTAGAGTTGATTTCTGCAGTGTAAAACAACATGCATGTGTTCTTTTCGAGAAAAAAAAAAAAAGAGTACTGACAGTGTAAAGTGAATGTAGTGCCCTTGTTTGGTTTTTAAATGGACACATTTTTATTATTACACATGCAAAAGCTTGTAATGAGAAATGTCGTACACAGACATGACGGATACTGGCAGTTGTGATAATTGGGATTTGTTCATGTATAAAGTTTTTAAATCCTGTTACTACAAATTCTTTGTTAAGTTGTGAATTCTGTTTATGTAGCTCTGCTGCAATAGCTAATGGCGATTCCTGCTCGCAGTCTACTACAATCATTAGTGTTACTGTCGCCATGTTACAAAAGTATTTTCACTGTGCCTAGGTATATTGTTTTTCTTTTCATAATAGTTAACTCGATACTGCATAGTATGGTGTTATTCTGCTGAACCAGGCAAAGCAAACTGATTACTCGGGTTTTTTGTCGGGTCATGAATATGTAAAATTTTGCTTGAAACACCAATGAAGCGAGAAAATGAACTATTTATTTTAATAAATGTTTCAAAGTTCCAGTTTACCAATGTTTCATTTTGCTCTTGAAGGTGCAGTGCAAAATGGTTTAATCTTTTTTTAGGAGACATTTTTTTATTTGTGCTTTGGGCGGTTTTATTAAAAGCAAAAATTATTAGCGTGCATGTTCTGCTTCTTTGTCACAAACACAATCAAGAGTCGCATCTCCTATTCCTAGAGAGAGTCCCGGGGCAGAGGAAAGATCTGAGCACGGCAATTGTTTCTTTTCAGTTATTGTACTCATGGCCCAAACTATTGACCACTCGTGTTGCATTCTCTGTTGCCATTGGGAAGACAGACTTGTAAAGTAATAACCGAGTCACTTTTTTTCTTTTGCCTGCCCTCTTTAAAAGAATAAATTGCCCTATTGATTGAAGACCGATGGCTTCGCTGGGTTTCCATAGGAGTTAAGCCTTTTTCTTCACTTTTTTCTCACGTAAGTTCGCTCTTTGTAATTTTTGTGGAAAAAAAGGCACCACCTGCGGGCAACGCTGCCCAAAATCGTAGCGCGATCGGTTAAGAAACCGAATTTCGCGGTACATTCATACAAGGAAGAAACATGCCCCAAACAGTAGGGGGTTTTAGGGAACCGTTTTGGCACATACGATACGATACGATCGGCTCTTCGGTATGGACTGCGCATGCGCGAGGTCACTGCTGCCTACCGCAAGTCCAGTGACCGTGCGGTCAAAGTGGCTGCCGTCAAGCATCTCGACTCGTTTATAGAACGGCTGTTTCGCTGCGGGAAGAGGCTTACTGAAGCTTCAAACGTGAACGAAAGCAGATCGAGTGTCAAACCGAAATTTTTATCGGTTCGGTTCCGGTTCGGGTTCACGGCTTTCGGTTCGGTTCCGGTTCAGTTACGGGGAGCAAAAAATAACGGTTCGAACCGGTTTGAACCGCTAAATTGAGAATATATTTTTCGCGTTGTTCTGGCAATATACACTATTTACGCCGTGAAACGATTAAGTATATAGTTTCTTCGATCGTCCGTGCAATTTACTTTTGTTTTTAGTTAGCATAAATATTGAATTCAGTTCTTTTATTTCGATGCAAGAGTAGAAAAAAATCTACATTAACATACATAACATCATGTTCATACGACTCCACATTTCTTTGTTTACCAGTAACATATATTTTTACCTGAATCAAAATGTTTAAATACGAGAGTAAAGAGTTGAGCGGGTTGGTGCATACCTGTAAATAGATCAGCTTCAAATTTAGAATTATACTGTGTTTTATTGTGCTTTCATCGTGTTTAAGTAAAATTCAAAAGTTCAAGCTGATCTATTTACACGGTATAAAATGTCGCAAAGTGTGGTAGGTCACCTGAAATACCCGTGGTTGGTTCAACTTTGTGTCGCAGTGCTAAAAATGAAATCGTGATTGTGTCCTTGAACTAAGGAATTAATTACATTACATAAAATTATGAAATGAGCACCTCGTGCTCATGCTAATTATGAAATAAGGTTTACGAAATACACTTCACAATATAAATGTATATGATGACGACACAACTGAGCTAAAAGCAATGAAATTTTCAGGATGTAACAAAGGTTTTAGGATAATTCCTTTCAGTTTATTTTTTATAGAAACACCGAGCGGCAATCCAAATGCTTGTTGTTCTAACCAAATATTGTTTACACTCAGCACCGCATGCATGTCACTAATCATCCAGCAAGAAGTAATCGCAATTGTTCACTCTAATTTACACGCACCTTCGCACTCAGATCGAATCTGGCCCAAAATAGGGCTTGCCCAAGTGAACATTTTCTTATGCAGAATAAGCTGGCATAGCCTGGCTGTTGAGGTTTGTTCTTGACAAGATGCCGGTCAATTTAATTTGCAAATGAGCATCACTTTTGCTAACTGATAATTTAAACTCGATAGCGTTAAGGAGCTCATGTCGCAGAAAAGCCGATGTCGGTGGCGTGACTGAAAAATCCTGATTGGTCGATAGGTTCTTGACGTCAGAGCTACATCATCCTCGCGCAAGAATTTCAAGGAACCCACAATGCTCACGTGAAACGTGACATCACGCGTGGAATGAGAGTGATTGAAACATGACATGTAATGCAAATTAAATGTCGCCGTATGTCTCATATGATTTCACTTTTGAAAGTAATTATTTTGCCTTAAAGGAGCTGTGCAACAATTTCAGGGCTTTGCTTAAATAATTGTGGAAGTTGATGCCTGACACTTCTGCAGTGAACTACAGAAAACAGATTTTGTCTGGATACCCTAGTTTTTATTTAAAAAATGAAAAAGATCCAGGGTTTTGCCGCCTCTCAACTCGGGCATCGTTTTCCGGGTCACGTGCACAGTGACGTCACTTGAGTAGGCGCGGACTTCCGCGCCTTGAGATTTTCATGGTGCACTGCTAGGTAGTCTTCTGCACTGGTTAGGGTCACTCCAAGTCCAAGGTATCTGTATCGGCTACTAACAGGAAGCGCAGTGTTCTGGATGGTGAGGGATTCAAGGCCCTCGCCCTGCCCGGAGAAAAGCACCACGGCCGACTTGTTGGCATTGAATTGCAGTCGAAGCCGAGCCGCTTCCACTTCGCAGGTGATCAGAAGTTTCCTCATATCTGAGACGTTGTCGGCCATCAGTACTAGATCATCTGCGAAAGCGAGCCCGGAGAGCTGCCATTCAACCATGTCTCCGTGTTGCATGTGTCGCAGAGTAAAGCCAATACCTGTGTGTTCTAGCCCCTTCTCCATGCCGGATGTATAGAGCATGTACAGAACGGGGGATAACGGACAAACCCTGACGTAGTCCCCTACGCACCGGAACGTCACCAGAAAAGACTCCGTTGAACGTTTCCATAACTTGATTTGCATCATATAGCCGCTTTATTAGCTCCTCCCAAGGTTCCGGCATGTTGAGCTGCTGGAGCCGCTTGATCAGCAAGGAATGGGGAACACTGTCGTAAGCTTTAGCAACGTCCAAAAAGTAACAAATAAGGTTCCACTTTTCCAACCGAGCGATCTCAATACATTGGGTCAGGGTGAACAAGTTGTCATCCAGTCGACGATCTCTGCGGCAACCGTTTTGTAGCTAGGTGAGAACACCAGCACCGTCGGCCCAATATGAGATGCGCCAATTAAGGATGGTTGCAAACAGCCTCTACCCGACGCCCTCTACCCAACGGTCGGCCAACTACTGAAATGAAAAGGATTCACACGTGCGCAGTTTGAGCCTGGCCCGCCTGCAGCAGGTCACTGTTTTTCGTTCGTGCGGCATATCGATATGGACTCATCAGATTCGTCTGAATCGAGCAACGATCAGAACGTGCCCCTAGATAGACGATTACCCGTTCTCATTAGAGAGTTTTAGTAGATCGTTCCGATACCTCCGATAGCCCCAATAACGATACTATGCATGCGCAAGGGAGGCGGTGGCGGAGTATCGGGATATCGTTATCGGAGTCATGGGAACGATCTACTAAAACTCTCTATTAAGACCCGCCGGGATCGCCTCCGAGAGAATGATAAGGCAGCTTTTGTTGCTAGCACGCCGAGAAAAACTGATCGACGTTATGCCTTTTGACTGAAGACACTTTTTGTTAAATCTTGGAGTTTGACAATAGACGGTTTTAGTACACCGTGTTTTCAAGCAACGCTTCCGTGGCGTAAGATCGGGCTGTGCCCTGTCGGCTACCGTTTACTTTGTCCTCGTCTTTTTGCTGTTTTGTATTTAATTGTGTCTGCATAGCAACTAGCCCAAACTTCTTCGTTAATCAACTATATTTCTTATACATAGGTCTTTTTTTAATGTTTTAATTTGACAGCGCTGTGTCCTGTCGGTTACCTTTTACTTTGTCCTCGTCATTGCGCTGTTTTGTTTTTAATTATGTCTGCATACCAACTAACCCACACTTCCACGTTAATCAACTTTTTTTTTATACATCGGGCTCTTTTCAATGTTTCAAATTGACAGCGCTGTGTCGTGTCGGTTACCTTTTACTTTGTACTTGTCTTTGCGCTGTTTTGTTTTTAATTATGTCTGCCACTTCCAAGCGTGCTTTCGCGCGAGCCCGGAGTGATAGAGGGTCTCTGAAAACCATTTACTAAAACTCTCTATTGATAAAAAGCACGAGCGCGGGGACGGAAGATCGTTAAGGCCTGGCGACCTCAATTTCCATTCTCGCGCTGTAAAGGCGTCGTTTGAGGCATCATTCGCGCGTGTAGCTTCGGCTTCGTGAAAGTGCATTTCACGGGCGCGCACCCGAGTGTGCTCCACTCGTCCGAGCGCTTGTGGCTTCGGCTGATTACTGCTTACTTCCACAACTTACTCACCAGGGTGTGACGTCACGGCAACGGCAGCGCCTTCATGGCAGCCCCTGTACGCCGTTCTTGCTCAGTGTTGGCAGTACAGCGGCAGCAAGTGATTTGAGCGTGTATCCGTAAATTTCAAAAATTAATTTTGTTATAAAAAACCAATATATTGCCGAGATGTTTTATAGACATGCTCAGGAAGGGCACCTAAATACATGGTTAACATTTTATAAAAATCGGTGACCATCAAAAATACGGTGGAAATACTTTTCAAGCCGCAGTCTCGCTTTAATAGACCGATCTCACAGCTAGTTCGAGTACGCCACCGCTTCCGCCATGCATCGTGGGAGCTGTAGTCTTTCTGCACGCGCGACAACCCCGCTGGAGGTCTGCGCGAGCAGAGCACGAGGCGGCATGAGCTCTATCGTGAACTGGTTGGCTTGCCTCCTATGAACTACAGTTATGGCGGCGGCACGCATGCGTGGAACGCTTGGTGAGATCGGTCTATTCATCGTACAAAAATACAGTCTGCAAACACGAGTCACCGGAATATCCGTTGTTCGAATGCCGCGTGCTAAGTTTCCTCCTCGAACTCATTACCATGCGGCCTTCGAAGCACGAATCTCGCAATTTAGCTTTCGAATCTGTACTCAGGCCGTCTTAATTTCACGATGTATAAGGTGTGTGTCAGATTCGCGGGAAAACGGAAGAACCTCAAATCTGTTAAAGG